CCGTCGCAAGGATTGATAGTGAGGAAGGCGCCTATGAGCCATATAGTTTCACTCCTCAACGGCGGAAATCGGTGAGAAGCGAAAAATGGGTTGACGAAGATGATTTTATAGTGGATGATTTGAACGAAATGGTACTGCTACCGTCCTTCCAGAGGAAAATTTGGAATGAAAAAAATAAAATTCTGCCAGGCCAACCTTTACGTGCCTTCCCTTACTCCGAGAATTGGACTGGGCTGTACGAGTTGGCTGCTGCGGCTGTTACTTGTCTGAAAGGGAGTCGGGGAGGGTTGGCATTGAACAGAGCTGAGAAGAAAGGTAAATCTTTTGATAGCTGGTTGGAAAATATGAGTGACCATATGGGAGATTGGGCAGTGAGGGATTCAGAATCATCGCCAAACTCCAGAACACTGTTAGTGTATCAGCCTTCCTTTCCTTTTTGCTGTTATCTTTTTAATCGTGAAAAAAATTCTAGGCTTGAAATTCTTCCATCTCCTCCTTCCCTGGATGACATTGATCGTAACACGAACGATTTCGATCAGATTTTAAGAACCTTTTCAGATTCAGCGCAAACCCTCTTAGCGGGATACCGAATCACCTGTGTCCCGATGCCATATTCCCCATCCGCCTGCGTTTCGGTGTCTGATTCCAATTCCGCTCATGAAACACCGGCCAGCGTCACTAAGCTATATGATTCTCTGGTCCACAACTGGCTTTTCCGACTCCCCGGGGACGTCCCAAATAAGATTCGAATGGCCAAAGAGAAAATGATACGTAATATCGTCATGCAATTGATCCTGTCAAGAATCATTATCACCAGACGACCAGATGTTGAACTATCAGATTCCCATCACATCTCCGAGTCCGAAGACCTCTATTCTTATCTCCCCTCATCAGCACCAGCATCAATCGAACCCTTGCCCCAGTCGAAAAATCCCACCTTAACCGTCACTTCCTCTACTGGGCACACCGGATTAGACACAGATAGTTTCTTGCCCACATCTTCCCAGGCCGCTACCACAGCCACCACTACCGACACAACCCCAACCCCAGGCACCTCTGCACAACCACAAACCCTTTACTCAACCTTACGCCTCTACACAGCCCTAAAACCCCAACAACCCCCCACCCTCCCCCGCCGCATAACCTCCACCCTCTCGCACTGGAAACTCGGCACAGACCCCTCAACCTACAACTGGCGAGCAGCCGTCCACCGCCTCCGTGAAGAAGAAATGGAAATCGAAAGTCAAAGCGCCAGTCTGCGGCGGAAGAGGCGCGAGAGGCGCAGGCTGCAAAAACAACAGTCGCAATCGCAACAGAGTCTGGGTGTCAATGTTGATTCGTACGCGGCTTCATCTCTAGTTTCCGGGTCTCAGGTGCCTGTTGTGAGGATGTCGGGGAGACAGAGCCAGAGGGTGGGGCAGAGTCAGGAGTCTGGGTCGTTGTTGGGGAGTGGGATGGGCATTGGTGCACCGGCTGTGCTGAGTAGTCAGGGTATGGAGGAGGTGGATGTGCCGATGACGCGGGTTGAGAAGGGGTTGATTGGGGGGAGGAAGGCTGTGAAGGGGAGGAAGAAGAACAGGGCGGCGGGGTTTTAGGGGGAGCGGTGCGTCAAGGTTAAATCTTATGGTTATATGGTTGTATTATTATAATTTAGGAGAGATAAGGGACTGCTTAGACATCTAATATCTACTTTTCGTTTTCGTTTCTCTTTTGGATTTGCAAACCATTTCTTTTTAATTTGGTATATAGAAACAACGAACGCCCAGGCACGTTCATATACGTGCTTTTGAACTAACTAATGGATCACCTTCATGTGACCCCCCTTCATCTAAATCCATTCATATTCACCAAATCATTAAATATGCTCAACAAATCAAAAGATCAAGCTTCTAATCAAGAAGGAAGGCTTCTCTTAGCCATTGAGGCCTATAAAACGGGTCAAATTTCATATATTACGACTGCTGCCAAAACGTACGACGTTCCACCCTCGACCTTACGCGATCGAATCAAGGGAGTCAAAACACGTTCAAATGCTCAACTTTCTTACAGAAAGCTGAATTCCATAGAGGAAGAATCTCTAGTCCAATGGATAATATCCATGGATGAGAGAGGTCCAGCCTCCTCGAATTGAAAATGTATGTAATATGGCGGATTTACTACTTTTTACCCGAGTTAAACCTACTGGAGGAGAAAAATGGGTTCAAAGATTCATTACACATCGTAAGGAACTAAAGGCTAGATTCTCACGTAAATACAACTACGAGCGAGCTTTATGTGAAGATCCCAAGATTGTACGAGAGTGGTTTCAACGGGTGAAGAATACGATAGAGAGATATGGCATTGCGGATGAGGATATCTACAACTTTGATGAGACTGGCTTTCAAATGGGGGTTATGTCAAGAGCCAAGGTGGTGAGTGGGTCTGAGAAACATGGCTGCCCAGTGTTTTTACAGGGTGACTGTTATTGAGGGAGTCAACTCAATAGGCTAAGGGACACCAGCTAGCCATGCACAATGCTGCTATCTTAACAAAGGAAAATAAGGAGCTGAGAGCTGCAATTGAGAAGAAAAAGCGCAAGAAGGGGCAAGCTCGTACGCTTATAGCTCAGAATGGAGCTCTAACAGCTGAGGAAGAAATAGCTACGGTTCAAGCAATTGATCAAACCGTACATGGGGGGTAGAGGAATTAAAGGCTCTGCCACGCTGCAGCAAGTGTAATATAGTTGGTCATACTGCTAGAAGCTGCCAACAGACCTAAGGAATAGATCTATATAAATTATATGAGAAATTCTAGTTTGGTGGTTGCTTAATTCCTCAATTTGACTGGGTTTGAGGTGGGAGGCTATCCGCTCGGTGATAGATTAGTTACGTTAAAACTTTTACGCTTAAACTAAACTCTTCACATTCTCAACATCAGTGGATTTGTTTCAAGACATTCCCCACTTCGTCTATATACCATATCCACATCAATTGACACAGATAAAACGATCTCAATTGCACAATTGCACACTACCTATCTAAACTGAGACAATTTAACAAAATCCCAAAATGCCATACAACAACCACCAACAAGAACGCAAAAAAAAAAAAAAAAGAGGCAAGGAAAATCCACGCAAGCCAACCCATGCACCCAATGCAGCCCAAGCTAAGTAATATCAACATGAAAATGCGCCAGGATATCCGCGTTTCCTTCCCTCCTCATCGGGTTTGTTTCGAGCTATTTACGTTCCCATCCCATCATATCAGCGAATCCCTATCCATTCTACTGACTCCTTTCTAAGATGTATAACCTCCTTCATTATCCCGGCGCACCCGTACACGGATCGCACGCAGATTATGTGGGTATGTGTATCAAAACAGATCCATTCTTCGCATATCGAAGTTTACTGTGTTAAGTTCGCTTAACAACCCGCCGGTGGGTGGGAAGAAGAGAGGGGTTAAAATCATGGCGTTTTCCCATGGACCTCAGCCGAAGGGATAGCGGAAGATTCTGCGAAGTTGTGTTGTATGAAAAAAAAAAAAAAAAAAAAAAAAAAAAAAAAAAAAAAAAAAAAAAAACTGGCCTGGGGGTAATGACCAGTGGACGAATGCAGATATGGTAAAAAGGTGGACAGGGTTTGTCTCTCACAGAGAGGCTGTCCATTCGTCACTGACGACTGTTGTCGAGCTGTGTTTCCACCCTCGCGTATATAAATGCTCCATCGCTCCATCCTTATCGTTCGTATGTTGCTTGCGTTCTCAAGCGAAGAACCACCCAGGCCGTTGGGTTCGTTTTCGATGTGTACAAATCATGTAAAAAACAATTCTTCCAGAGAGGTTATTGGTGATACACACACCAGCCCATTCATCTGTGTCCAAATATGTCAATCTCATCAACATCATCGTCTTCCTCATCTTCCGTGTCTTCTTGCCGTTCATCATCATCGGTATCTTCTTCGGAGCCATCAGTAGCAGTCTCGCTCTCGTCTTCGAGCACCACCACATCGTCATCGTCCTTACCACCACTAAATATTCCAAATGTAGGCCTGGAAGACTTGCTGCCCCAAAAGTCGATATCATCATTGTCGTTATTTGCGGGCTTGTTGCTGTCGCCGGAGTCCCCGGAGTCCGTAGGTGACCAAACAGATACACTTCCTCGATAAAGGCCGAAATAATTCCCTATCATTGCCGGCACGGTTCTCAGGGGCATAGTAGAGAAGGATCGTCGGTAGCTTGGAGCTTGTTCCGTGGGTTGGGTGGGTCCGAGAGTCGTATCACTTGCCGGAACTGATCTTGAGAAAGCCGGCGGTATTGTGCCTTCCGTTATTGTGTGATTTTCATCAGGGCTTTGTGGTAATCTAGCCATGCGGATTGGTATGGTCAGGTTTCGAGATGCTTCCCGACCTTCATATTCACGACTAGTGTTACCATTGCCACTATCAGAACCAGTGAGGAGACGTATTTGCGTAGTGTTGTAAGAGTAACATCTGCGATAATTCCAATCAGCAAAAAAATTCAGTTATCCAAATGAGAATCTTCTTACATTTCACATTTTAACCCTAACCAATGATATTGAACCGCGGACTTCGCGGAACAGTCGTTACAAGATATTAGCGCTCTTGTATCTCTGAAATCCGGAGGCATTGGCTGGTCTGATATTGTGCGGTCAAGGTTTCTGAAGTGGGCCTCCATATTTGCAATAGTTTTACTGCAAATAGGACAGCGATATGATGTTTTGGAGTATTGAGAAAAGCACTTTTGATGTATGCTATGTCCGCATTTCATGAATATGACTGCCTCGGGAGACGTAAACATATAATCACCACATATCGGACAGTCGCACTGCGTGGATCGTTCGATGCATCTGTGGGTTTGCTGTATAGATACGGGAATGCATACAGAGCAGGTCTAGTTGGACGTCAGTAAACCCCAAACTCCGTGTACAGGGCCAGGAGATATACCTTGCAGTGATAATAGTCCTTTCCAATTCCTTGACCGATACGGCATATCCCACAGTCGTTGCAGTGGTATATACTCTTCTCGGTGTCGTTATCCCAGAGTTTACAGACTGAGCAGTAGTAGCTAGCAGCTTGAACACCGCACGATTTACACCATTGCCCAGCCGGCTGGGGGGTACTGCAAACCATGCAAAGCATGTTCTGAGTCGCTCTTCGATTTAAAGTGTGATCTTCCTCTTGGTCATGGCAAAATCTGCAAGTATACCATCTCTTGCATGCGTAGCATTGGAGCTTTACCCTCCTCTTATAATGTCGACAGCCTAATTGGAAAATTTCCTCTTCCACTGCGTCGTCATTTGGGAGCTCCTTCGAGAACGAAGGCATATTCTCACCAGAAAATTCTGACGAGTCATGTCGCGTAGCGAAACTAGGTTGCAGATCCTCATCGGTGAGATAATAGGGAAACGCGTTTGAAGAGGCAGACACGGTCAATGAGGGAGTCAGGGGGAAGCGACCGGAAGAACGTTTGCTACGTGACAGAGGCGTCCATGGGCGTTCTTGACCATGGGAACTAGAGGGTGAATGTGGCTGGAAGGACTGACCATGTCTATTATTCAGCGATGAATTGTAATTTTCCGTCATAAGTCCATGAATCAATCTGGCCTTTTCCGCGTTAGAAACTGCTGCGTCCCGTATATTGTGTATCTTTTCCCTTAACGTGCTCATGCCATCATCCTCCGGTAGCGTTCTATATTTCCCGGCCAAAATGATATCTAATCCAGCGTATGGGTCATCGCTTTGGCCGCTTTCTCTTTCATTGGATCCTCTAGATTGTAGTCCTCCTCCTGCCCTAGGATTACAGTCAACGGCGCTAGATGAGGCAATCGCTGGTGTAGGTGTTGATCTTGGAGTCTGACTCCCTGCATCAACTCGATCCAACGAAGACCCAACTTCACTGCCGGTTCCCCCGAGTGCTGATTCCATCAGAGAATGGGGAGATAGGCGCAATGAATCTCTAACATCGATTTCAGAATGGCCAGAGGTGTTCACGTACTCATCATGAGAGCGAGGGGAATATGATCTTTCCTCCGGGGCAGCACTCGAGGCCGCACGGTCGAGCGGTATTCCACTCTCTTCAATGGTGCGATGAGTATTGGTCACGTCAGCGCCATCTGCTGGAGATGGAGATTCGACATTTTCTGACTGAGGAAACAGGATTTCAAGACCAGCAGCATGTGGGGGATTTGACGACTCTTGCCGTTGGCGGACTCTCCGTAGCACCGGTTCGGGTAGGAAGGAAGAAATATAGCTGCTCATTAGGCAGGAGGACAAGAGCTCGCAGATACAGCAGTTTTCATTTATATATATATATATATATATATATATATATACATATACATATAGGTATATCTCCAATTCCTCACATTTCAGCTCCAGCGGTGGGCAGTCTGTTGGTCGTTGTAGTTGGGAAGGTTAAAAAGTCGAGTTTGTCGCCTCGAAGCAGCATGTGAACATTTGACTTGTCAATGACGCAGCGGCTGCTTAGTGATCCATTTGGGTAACTAACTAGTTAGTTAACTAATGTAATCCACCCCCGAGCGAACCACACCCCTGAGTGAACCATCAAAATCCAAAAAAGCTTCAACTTTATAACCCACCCACTTCAACGCGTGAGAATGCCACCAATTCGCAATAAAAATGTCAGAAACTCTATAGAAATAGAGGGAAGAATTGAACTCATGATAAAAGCTTTAAAAAATAATGAAATTACCTCAATTCATGAAGCTGCATGTCTTCATGAGGTCTCATATGCTATTCTACACCATAGACTTAATGGCTGACCTGCACGCGTGAATCTACGCGCAAATTCAATCAAATTAACTGAGTCTGAAGAGAATCAGCTAGTTCAATGAATTCTAGATCTGGCAAAACAAGGAATACCCCCTCTGTCAGCATTTGTTGAGAATATGGCCAATCATCTTCTTAAACTCCAGCATTCAACCTCCGCCTCAACCTCTGCCCCCCAGGTTGGCAAGAACTGGATCTGCAAGCTGATTAAACACTGTACAGAGCTTCATTGCCACTATTCCAGACACTATAATCATGAGTGAGCTAAATGTGAGGATATAAGAGTTATTCAGGCTTGGTTTAAGACCTTGGAGGATACAATTGCTGAGCATGGGATTGTGTCTGAAGATATATACAACTTTGATGAGACTGGGTTTGCAATGGGGCTCTGTGCCACTACTAAGGTTATTACTAGTAGTGAGTGCTATGGCTGGGCAAAGCTTCTACAGCCTGGAAATCAGGAATGGATGACTGTGATTGAGGCAGTCAACACATCAGGCTGGGCCTTGCCTTCATATGTGATTCTTAAGGGTCAGAAGCTACAGGAAGGCTGGTTTGATGGGCTTCCAGATGGCTGGAGGCTTGATGTTAGCCCTAATGACTGGACTACAGATGAGATAGGAGTTAAATGGCTTACTAGGCTGTTTATTCCTGCTGCAAATCCACACAGAATTGGCACTTATCTTCTTATCCTGGATGGGCATGGCAGTCATCTTACCCCAGAATTTGACTACATCTGCAAGGAGAATAAGATTATTCCTCTCTGCATGCCAGCATATTCCTCACATCTCTTGCAGTCACTAGATGTGAGTGTTTTTGCAGTTTTGAAACATGTGTACAGCAGTCTTGTTGAACAGTGAATGCAGCTTGAATTCAATATCATTAAGAAGACAGACTTCCTAGATGCCTACCCTGCAGTGCATATGGAAGCTTTTAAAGCTCAAAACATTCAAAGTGACTTCAGAGCTACTGGTATAGTGTCATTTGAACCAGACCAGGTCATTCAGCAGCTAGATATTCAACTCTGAATTCCTACCCCCCCAGCCAGCAGATCAAGCAATTCAACCTCATTCTCAGTGCTTCAAACACCTAGCAATCCACAGGAATTGCAACAGCAGGTCAAGAAGGTCAAAAGCTTTATGAAGGGTCAGCAGTCTCAAGGTTTAGTGGAAGACCTTGATCAAATTATCAAGGCCTGTGAATATGGGATGGTCAACACCACTATTATGAAGAAGCAATATCAGGATATATTCAATGCAAATGAGAAAGAGAAGCAAAAATGCAAGAGATCTGCCTGAAGAATTCAACAAGAAGGATGTTTAATCAGACAGGAAGCTACTCAGCTTGTTATTCCAGCTGCTGCACTCATTGAACAGCCAGTCATTCAACCCCCTGTGCCTCCATCTGCAGAACCTTGATCACACTCAGGAGTTTCACAACAGTGCAGCAATTGCAATTTGCCTGGTCATAAGAGAACAAGATGCCCCAATTCTAGTGTAAATTAATTTAATTTAATAAGGCATTGTTGATATGGATATTTCAGGTTAAATTCTAGCTAGTTGAAATATGATGATTTTGGTGGTTCGCTCGGGGGTGGATTACGTTAGTTAACCAGTAACTACAACTGGAAGTATCTGAGCTGGAAAATAGCGAACAACGAAGGGCGGTTTACAAAATATGCTTTATCATGGTTATTAGAAACAAGCCTAGATTGGTATAGATAGCTGGGATAAATTATGTGTAAATATGTATTTATTATATGTTGCTTGGAGTTGTGATCTAGCAGAGCAGTGATACAGGTCTATGTGCAATACAGACAAGGATGTTCTGTGCTGCTTTTCGAGGCTGCCCTCTTCATGTAGCATGAATAGATTCTAATATTAGCAGGCCTTCCGGATTGAGATATATAATCTTTGTCGTCTGGGACTGGAGACGCAATCCGTTCTCCAGCTATTATTTATAGATGTCTAAGGAGGGATGTTCTCATTTAAGACATAGACCCAGGCTTTCATTTAGCATCTTCAAGGTCATGTCAAATGGTCTGTAGGCCGTAGATATCATCTGGGAACGGGTTCCGGTTGTAACATCAAAACTAGGAATCGTCATTAGATATGGACAGAGGATATAAAAACACAGACCCAGATAGTTTGCCCCAGAATGAATCTTACAGCTTGGTATCCCTCTGACCAACAAACTGAGGCTGCTGCCAGAATCTGACATGCAACAGATTTTTAACAATTTTGTGTTCGGTGCTGGTAGACTTGGACGCAAGTCGAAGAAAGTTGAGAGTGTTCACAATCCTTTGCGGGTCAAATTCATCGGGCGTGCCTCGTCTAAACGACTTCCGGAGGTTCAGGCGGAGGACGTAGCGGCCCGGCTTTGCGTATCGTATAGACTGCAAGCCTGTTCTATATAGATGGCGGTATGCATGGACTATGGCACGGCTACGGGACTGGGCCTCGAGAGCTGCTACGGTAAGGGTCGTCTTGGCGGAAAATGAGCACGAGTCAATTTCGAACAGGAAGAAAAGCACGAAAAGCCAATAGAGCAATAATAGTAATAATACAGACCGCAGTAGACATGAAAGCGTCAGTCGCAATTGTCTGGATTTTAGACAATCTCATTCAGGTTCATTCTCCAAGATAACCGAGTCAAGTTGAATCAAACATGGGCAACGGACGGGAATAGAGCCTCAACGATAAAGGAAAAACCGCAGCTAGCTGAAGCTATTTACTGGCAGCTTTCTCTTTTTCGAAATTATTAGAGTTGCCAGCCCTGTGGGACTTAAAATGTACTGTGCATGGACAGTACAATCCAAGGTGCTTCCTCTCTCAGGCCTGCTGGCTCAGTGGATGGAAATAATTCTCGCTTCCTGCAAGGACAAAGACGACAAGAATGCCAAGATATTACTCGGTTCTGACTGTGCACCGAGTCACAGGACCTTGCAGCCCAATCTTTTGGGCTGCTCTGAGGTGCACTTGGGCACGCAAGCGCACACTCAGGGCATAACTTGGGCCATAACTTGGGGGCGTTCTAATTCCTGAAACTAAAAGGCAAGGCTGTTTATGGGATGAAACTTTTGAACTACGTTTACAGTTGACGTAGAATCACTCTCTCAAAACCATGATCAATTCTGGTCACCATCTAAAATAAACGGTCGACTGTGTGTGCACACTCTGCACATAGTTTACATCAGTGGCCACTTTTACTCATACATCGCTATTCAACCTCACCACCCTCAGCACCAGGGTTAGGGGTAGGTTGGGATTGGGATTATGGGTTAGGGTTAATAAGAGTAACGGCCTGAGAAATATGATGAAATCAGCTATCAAGAGCATGTAAATAGAGTGGTAATATGACTAGTGTAATTGTGTAGTTTTGATGTGGGGTCTTGCATACCGAAGGTTTTTCCGGCCGAATTTCAAAACCCTTTGCACCTTTTTATAAGCCGCCTCACTCCAACCATCAGGCTTTCTTTCAATATCTCCCCTCAACCTCAGCCTCTCTTCTCATCTCAACAACACCACTTCATCAGCCATCGTTTTCTTTCAACGACGGCTTCTGTACAGCTCAGAAAATAGAGCCTTTGCGTATCTATAATTATGCTGGGAATGCATATCTGTATTTGTTGATTCTCAGCGTCCGTTCATGTTCATGTGTACGGTTCAAGTACACACTGGTTATCTACGTTTTCTGTTTCTGCCAATATCATCACTCCGTGAATCTATAATCATCCCTCTCTACTATCAGCACCCCAGCTGTGACCTATTTCTGTTTTGTGAAGAGTATGTGTTAGTTTAAGAATTATTAACCACATCGTGTGAATATTCTATCCCATTTTCGCTTAGGATGACCCGGGTCGTCGCTCGAGCCACGTCGGCACATGCCGTACGGGCTCGTAGCCGGTTATCAAAACCCAGGATCCGGAAACATAAGATTATTATGGAGAGTATTACCCAGGAGAAGAAGAAACTCCGCAGTGTCGTATGTGACTCACTTAGCAAGGACTCCGATTTACCAACTTCCCAGTCTAACACCAAGAGACACAGATCTCCTTCGAAGCCAAGGCTCCTCCAGGCTACACTTTTATTCCAGCTGGGAACCCTCAGTTTACTAATGCTTGCAAGGAAATGTGTCGCAAGGATGGGCTCCAAGTTTTTGCAGTTTCGGTCAGTTGCGATTTCGCCCTCTTTTCCCTAGGGTGTCGTTTCTCAGCTAACGTCGAACTAGACAACCCCTCACCAACGGATGCACGACCTTTCGCAACAGGTCCATAGGATTGGCTATCATTTCCCTAGTGTTGTTGTAGCTACGATTTGTATGGAAAGAGGTTTATTTCTGTCGTCGACAGGAAAAGTTGTCCCATATCATGCCTCGGCCCAAAACCCCGCAGGCATTCGTGGACAAGAAAAACGAGCCGATTCGGAGGTGTCCCAAAATACAATAAACGTGGAGGCAAGGGATGCAAT